ATAATTATACTATTATAATTTATTTACGTGACATTAACTCGAACATATTAATAAAAATTAAAATAAAATAATTATAACACATGGAAATTTAAGCAATTAAAAATAGAAAAAAACTCCATCAACATAATTGTAATTTAAGAATTATAAATTTAAGAATTTAAAATAATATAATTATAATAGGGAACAAAAAGTAAAAAGTGTAATGAATCTCTCTTTCATTAAGTATTCATTGAACTTTGTGTTAATTGTGAATTGTCAGTTGGACCCGCTATCAGGAAAAGCTTAAAAAGTGTTGTTGACGCGTAGCTTCATTGCATACTTATTCAATACTTATTTGCAGCATCTCCAATGTTCTTGTGATTTTTTATTTTTTTATTGAAAAAACATTATGTTGAAGCATTTCTATTATTAACGAGAATTTATGTGATAAAATGTTTTTATTTAAATTGAGATTTATTTATTTTTAAAATATTTTTTAATAAAAAATATAATATTTTATATAATACTTAGTATAATTCAATATAAATATATCATAATTATGTTTAAATTAAATGATTAAGTTGATCTTAAGTTTCAAATTAAGTTTCAAATTAATTTTAAAATATAAATAAATTAAGATAAAGTCTTTAAAAACAACTTAAATATTTTCTCGTTTCAAATAAGTTTTTATATAATGTTATTATAGTTTTTGTTATATTATGATTAAATACACTTTAATTTATAGAAAAGTTAAATTTCATTTAATGAAAATATATGATTTTTTTTAAATAATTTAAAAGATGAAAATTACTCTAAAAAAATATTTATTTACTCATTAACATTATTTAAGGATTATCTAGAAAGATATACATTTCAGGGAAAAGAAACATTCAATCTTAAATAAATAAAAAATACATTTTGGGGAAAAAACATTCAATTTTATATAAAACATAAATAACATTATGTTTTAAGTTTTTTTATTTAACTTCATAAATTATTTTGTTAGGTTAAATAATTTTTATTTATTTATTTGTTTAAATGATTATAATCACCTTAATAAAATTGATAATATTAATCTACGTTTTAAAAACAATTTTCAAATTATCATTAAAATAATGAAAAATAAATTTGAAATAAGTATAAAAAATAAAAATTAAAAAGTATTTTAGTTTTTTTTTGTTTTCTTTTTTATGAAACCTTAAACAATTGACAACGTTCGTTAGTTACTTTGCATATGCCCTGATAATTTATTTGTCTAAAAGAACGTTCCTCCATTCCGGGACACGATGCTTCACCCGATACTATGTGGGCACCACCTTAACCTTCTGTCTCCCTTTATGACTCTCCATCTGCATTCATTTTCGCTGCACTATTTTCTTTCTTCTCTGCATAAAAAAAAAAACAAAAAAAAAACACGTAAGACAGAACACGACAACCACGAAAAGGTGAGATCCATGACAATTGGAGGCAATGCAACCAACAAATCGTGGACGACCTTGAAAAGTCATTTTTATCGACCTAGTATGTTTCTTAATTCTTTTCTAAAGACCAACTCATTCAGATTTTGTCCTGGTCCAAACACCATCAATATTCAAATATCGTGTTTCCCATTTTTTTTTTTTCTTTTAAGGAATTTAGAACCATAGTGGCGAATAGTTTTTTTATGCTTTTCTAAATTAATCAGAATTGAAATGGTGTTTATGGAATGAAACTAGCTGTAATGTGGGTAAAGGATTCGATAATGAGATGCCACCATCCATTATAAATGCAATAATCTATATTTAATTCCCTTCATAGATTCTCAATAAATAGTTGCCAATTTTTTTTTCTTTAAACAAAAATAGTTATGCAAAAACAATACCATAAAAAATAAATATTTTAGATAAATTGGTATATATATATAACTTATTTCTATAATTGAGTGAAAATGCGTTCATATTGATGGTATAGACTGATGACCCTTACAATATTTTTTGTTTTTACTTGCAAACGTGCTCATATTTAACTCTATTTTAAATAAGGTTGAAAGTAAATACTTTGCTTTAATTATTTTTTAATTTGTTTTAATTATTTATAATTATAGGTTAAATATAAAACGAATCTTATATTATTTAAGATTAAAATAATATTTTCTTATATATATTTATTTTTTAAATTTATTAAAATATCTTTTAAAAATAAAATTACAATGAATAAATTTTTTTAAATAAATAATATTTAAATATAGAAATTAGTTCTAATATATTATATAATAAAATTGACACTAAGATATATATATATATATATATATATTAACAAGGGAAATATGAATATGTTACCATTAATACCAAATAAATGAAAATATAAATATATAAGAGTTTATTAAAAAGGTGTTTTTTTTTTTCAAAAGAAAACTAAACCCACAACATTTCCGTATAAGTTGTTCATAAATATAATTTCATATAATTATTTGACAAAAGGAACGAATACTTTCTTTAGATGCATTTCAATTTTTTATTATAATTTTTTTATCATTGTTTATATATTAAAAATTTATAAATGAGTTATGTGAAAAGCAAAAAACAAAAAACAATAAAAAATATAGACAAAAGCCATGAATATGAAGTATTAAAAATAAAATGATTAAAGAAACAAAATTACATAAATATTGAAAAAAATGATAAAATGACTAAAATAAAATATTTGTATAAAGAAGTGACAAATTTTCCTAAATCTAAACTATTAGACTGAAACGAATAAAAATATTATAATAATTCAAGAGTGAGTGAAGCTTCCATGCCTTAAAGATTCAAATGCATATTTACAAGCTTTAACTACCTTCATTATAATATTATAAATATAATATTTATGGATTACAAATTTTAATTATCCATAATTTCTCAATCATTTACATAATTTATAATTTTATCTTTAATTTAAACTATTAATAGTCTTAAACTTCTATTTCAAAGTTGTAAATAGTTTAAGAATCTTAAAGCATGCACATTCTAACAATCTTATTTTAAAATCGAAAACCCAAAGTTAATTTGAAGACACCATGTCTATAAAAAATAAATAGTAGAGACACAACATAGTGAAATACCAACTATAAACCTCGTAACACATGTTTTTGAAGACAGAAAAATTTAAGAGATTAAAAAATAAATAAAAAATACGCACCTAAATGCCCCTTTGTTGCTTTGTGAGGGACACATTTCATTGCTTCTACGCCACTTCCTCTCATACAAAGATAGTGCAAGGAATCTCACTTTTTTATTTTTATTATTATTATTATTTTTTAATATGGTCGTTGCCAAATAAGGAATAAAAGAATGTTACATTAATTAAATTTGTTTGAAATATTAAAAAAATAAATGCATCACACGTTTAAAGGTGAAATGAAGAGGTGTCATTTCTACCCTAAACCAAATTAAAAATAAAATTATTTTCCCATGACTTAATGCTTGTTAAGAAATAAAAACAGAATATGATTATATCTCAGATATATTTAAGTCATTTCATTGTATATTATTGATTTTTTTTTCTAAATTATTGGTGTAATGCTTAGGTTTGAGTTTAAGAATAATTTTAAATTAATAACATTTAAAAAGGTTTCTTTGAATTAAAATTAAGGATATAAGTATTAGAGAATTAAATTTGGTAATAATATTGGAAAAGTAAAAGAAGTAATTCATTGATGTTAGAGACAGATTTATATTAAAAAAATATAATATTAAATAAATTCAATATTATCAATTAAGATAACTGTTTTTTCTTGTGAATTAAATAATTTAGTTTTATAAAAAGGAACTGATCAAGTATTAAATGAATGTTATATTTTTTGGGTTATTGAAATTATAAGTTATATAAATATTTGTTTGAATTACAAGTAATGTTATTAAATATAATAATTAATCAAATCATTTAATTTTACGATTATTTAAAAATAAAACTTAACTTATGATATTGTTAATTTAAAAATTATTCATCTTAATTACTTTCATTAATCTTAACAAGTTAAGTATTTATTAATTATATATAAGTTTAAAAGATAATAATATAAATAAAATTTATATAACTATTTAAATATCATATCATAGCATCTCAAAATAAAGTTTTTTTTAGCATTTATTTTAAATTATTTTTCCAATAAAAATTTTAAGTGGTGTTTTTTTAATCTGTGTTTTAAAATAACTTATAAAAATATAAATAAAAAATTAAAAGAATCACGTAATTAAATATTTTTCATTTTTTTATTAAAACAAATTAAGTATGAATTAAATAAAGATGAGATGACCATTCAAATCTAAATTTTACAATTTTTTTAAGTTAGAAACACTTATATAATGATAGTTTGGTTACTATTTATAAAAACAATTATTTCATTTTAAAAATTTAAATAATTGTTTCATTATGATTTTATCAAAATAATCTTTTAAATATATTTTTTACTTTTAATTTTTTAAATTAAAATATTAAAATATGTTTTATGTTTTTATTTACATTTATATTTTATTAATTATTATAATATATTTTTATTTTTATTATTACAAAGTTATTAAAATTATTTTATATATTTTGATGTAATTTTTCGTCGTCTAAATATATAAACTTTAAACTAAAGTAATTTTTGTTCAACTTCTTTTTAACAATAAAATTTCAAAATTATTCTTAAATATTTTGAAAACAAAACTAAACATGTTAATTGAAGTTGCCTTTAATAAGATATATAATTAATTGAATATATTTCTTTACATTAAAAAAAATCTACTCATTAATTAAACTAAAAAAATGTAATTGGAACATTAATTTTTTAATAAGTTTTGTTTATTTAAGGGATAAATATAAAGTAGAAATGATTGGCATAAAGAAAATAATTTTTATTCAAAAGAAAAGAAAATAACGAAAAAAAATGTAAAAGAAACTTATATATTTTTTATTTATAAAACAAATTTACGGTAAACTTGTAACGCTACAACCGGATACCGTTTCGTTAACGGTAACAAACTTCTCGGGTGTTTGGAGACAACGTAGCGTAGGTAATGGGTTCATATTGCACCGCACGACCGTTAGGAACGCCGTCTCAGTCTACGGTGGGTCCACGTCACGTACACAGCAGACCCAGTCAGCATTTGATTTAGCATTAGCCCCCAACACGATATTTGAGTCTCAACAGAATATACGGATAACGGGTAAGAGATGCTTATCGATGCTGACTAGGAAAAACCCTAATAATCCTATTATTTTCTCCATAATCAAAATTTTTAAATATATTAATAAACATGATTAATACGTTACTAACAACCCATCATTATTCAATAATAAAAAAACTTCCTACAAATTTTCTGAGAATAAAAGTTCAATAAAAAAAACACAATTGATTTTATAATTACCAAAAATTTAATATAATTAATAAAACTCTTAAAATGTTTAAATTTGGCACCTCACCTAACAGATATTCTTTGATTCTTTGTCCTTAAATTTTTTTTTCCTTTAATTGTGAAAAGTTGAAAGTGGCTCAGAGCTCTGAAACAGCAAAGAGAGAGCGGGAACGCGTTGCGTACACCTCACATCCTCCTCCTCCTCTCCTCTACATAAGCGCCCTCGCATCACATTCTTTGCACACTCAACAAGCATTCACCATTCTCATACCTCTTCATTTTTCTTCAGATCTATACGACCTTCGTTTCTCTCTTCACTTCACCTCCTTTCACTTGTCGGTGAGTTCCTAGATTCTCTCCTTTCACACCTCCACCACCTCCACTAGGGTTTTACAAACGTTTACATTTTGCATTGCTGATAAACTCTTTTCATTTTGTAAATTGATTCTTAATCCGCTAGTTTTATGAATGACCTGTAGAAGAAACGTTTCTTAGAGTCCACGTTTCGAATAGCTCAGATCTGTGGCCGTTTTAGTTTTGTTCATGCTCTGCTGTTTCGCTTGTAACGGCAGCGGCTACGGAGAAAGCAAAATGGCTTCTGAATCGGAAATGTGAAGTGGGTTATAGGAAAACGTTTTTTTTTTTTTTTTTCTATCAGATAGTGTCAATGGACGGTGACTGAAACCGTGATGAACGTCGATTTTGGAAGTAGTGATTTTATTTTTGTGTCGGTGAGATTGGGAAAGGGAAAACTAATTGTCTCTCGATTCACATTTAGAAAAAAAAAATGCTTTGCGAATTCTTACCTTAGTTAACGCGTCAAATGGATTGATGTGTTGACTTTTCATGGTATTAAATTAATTTTCGTAGACTGGTCTCTGGGTGATTTTTGAAATGTGAAAGGTCAAATTTGGGTTTTTAATGGTTGATTACTTGTGTAAAAATACCATCTAATGCAAGATAGTGTTTATTATTTCAGACTGAAGAAATGGCTCCTCCAATTGAGACCCCAAACAAGATTTCTGGCTTTCAGCACACCCCACACCCCCCTCTTAATGAGAGGATTCTTTCATCCTTGACCAGGAGGACTGTTGCTGCGCATCCGTGGCATGATCTTGAGATAGGTAAGCAATATTTGCTCTAACATTGTAAAATTGTGACATGATAGTGGTTTGATCATAACGCATTACTCCTTTTTTTTCCGTACTAACTGTGTTTTTCCCACAATGCAGGACCCGAAGCTCCAAAGATCTTCAACTGTGTAAGTATATGAACTAAAGACTTACAATCCTAAACATGAAAGAAATGTCCAGGATTACTTAGCTGAGATTTGGTCAACTAATGAATTTTATGCACAGATATAATATGCATGTTTGTTTGATGAGACTAAATGACCATTCCTAGAACATATAGAAAACAGTGCTGGCTGTGTGTGTTTGAGTGTGTAAAGAGGACTTGAAATAAGTATCCAAGTATTGGTATTGGATGCAGTATGCAGAGCAAATGCAAGTATTGGTGGTTTGTAGACTGATGGTTGAACAGGAAACATTGGATAAATGTGATTCCATTTCCATTTCGGCTTTATCCCGTTGGTGTGTCTTATTAATGGAAATAACCATCCTGTTACATGACTGACTTGCTGGAAGTGACCAAACTGGCATTGTGGGACTATTAGTTGTGAAGTGCCAAAATTTAGCCTTCTATTATATTTGTTTTGCTTTCTTTTTCTTTTTCTTGTTAATCTTAGATGGTATAGAATGACAAGTCGAAGCTTGTTCAAAATAGTGTGCATGACCTATCATAGTGTTTTACTAATCAACGTAACATGTGAGCTTAAATTGTTATGATTTTTAATTTTTCTCTAAAGGGCATAAAACAATAAATTTATTCTGTAATTAGATGTGAATGATTATGAAATATGGCTGAATCTTGCAGGTGGTTGAAATTGGAAAAGGAAGCAAGGTGAAATATGAACTTGACAAAAAAACTGGACTTATTAAGGTAATCATGGTTCCCAAGCTTTTTCTTCCCTTGTTACACACGTTGCTACAGGGCATTGCTGAACATGCATCTATGTGCAGGTTGATCGTATACTTTACTCGTCAGTTGTGTACCCTCACAACTATGGGTTTATCCCTCGTACAATTTGTGAGGATAGTGACCCCATGGATGTCTTGGTTATTATGCAGGTAATTGCATCTTCTTCATTGTGTTTACTTCTTACAATTGTGTAATTATGAGAATTGTTTAGTGATTCAATGAGTTCCAATTTTAACTGTGTTTTGAAAATTCTCCTGCCAATTTGGACGGCACTTTTTCAATGTTTTGCCCAAGAGTTGTTGGACTTGGCAACTTGACTAAATTGATTTTTCATAGTAACATTTTTTAAAATGGATTGTGTAACAAGTCAACAACTTTTTTTCAACTGCTGCAATAACAAATAAAACATCTTGGTAGTTAAAGTAACGGGGTCAACATTTTAATTAACTTCTCTTGACTGGAGTTTCTACAATTTTCATGATTCCACTGCCTTACAAAGTGATCTTACCATTTTGAAAGTTTATCTTAGTCCAAAACCTAGCTTGCTCAAGGTGATCTCGTATTGGGAACCTGAATAATTATTTTATATATCTATTGTAATATGGTTCTAGAATATTTTGATTGTAATATAATCCATGGAGAGGATCGGAGATACTTTATCCTGTATTGGTCTTCCTAGTCTAACGACTTCGTATTACACAATTGTGTATCATCCTACATTGTTACATCCTTAGTAATAATTTGTTAGGTACGACTTCTTTTATGTTTTATTGCTTCTGTGATACTAAGCTTTGGTCGTACTTGGTTGGACAGGAACCGGTTCATCCAGGTTGCTTCCTGCGGGCTAAAGCTATTGGACTCATGCCTATGATTGACCAGGTAAATGCGACACTCCCTTTATCCTGGCAAGAGTCTCCTCTCCTGAGTAATTTTCTTTCGATTACTGAACAACCATTATTTCTGATGAAATTCAGGGGGAGAAAGATGATAAGATCATTGCTGTCTGTGCTGATGATCCCGAGTATCGGCATTACAATGATATCAAGGACCTTCCTCCTCACCGTTTAGCTGAAATCCGACGTTTTTTTGAAGATTGTATCCTTTCTAAAAATTTCAAAATGTGTTTGTTCAGTACTTCCTATATGTTAGCATAGCGAATTCAAAAATATCATTTGACCATATATGTCATACTTTGTTTGTATGTTTCCCTTCATAAAAGAATTAGACAAGAAGAATGAAAACAAGGAAGTTGCAGTAAACGACTTTCTTCCTGCCTCATCTGCCTATGAAGCGATTAAGCATTCCATGTAAGCAATACTCATCTGATTCATGATCTCAATAAACCGTTTTATCCATTGAGTAATGAAGAGTTGATTACATTAATTCCCCCTGTTTTCTCATCATCAGTTCCAATACTTCCTTTTGAAATAGTATTTATTTTAGTAACATTATGAAAATGATCTCCTTGTTATTTTAAGATATTTGTAAGGCTTAATTACTTTCCTCTTTTTTATTCATGTGCAAAAATGATATAGAGGTTTATAATCCTTTTGTTTTGTGTGAAGGACCTTGTATGCGGACTACGTTGTGGAGAGCTTGAGGCGGTAGTGTTGCTGCTTGCCATTTTGTTTGGTTGTGAAGACATTTACTATAATTACGATTATGACGAAATCAAAGCTTTCTATCCTTATCGCATGTGCATTTGTCTCAGGGCTTGCACCATGCATATTCTACACATGTTCTTAATTTTGAGTGAATGATTTTTTCATTTATTAATATCAATGTTTTATATGGTAGCACAATCTACCGGATATTTGGACCATAAACTTACATCTTATAAAGCATATTTACAACAATTATTGGTACCTTGCCTTATGTGCTTATTGTCATCGATTCTCCGAAAAAATGGCATTGAATCAGAAGTCAATTATTTCACTGCTTATCACGCAAATGTCTCATCCTCGTTAATTCTTTAAAAATATTTTTTTAAAACATACAATTCTCATGTTTTAACCAGTCTTCAATAATTTAGGGTAATAGTCCCAACCACGATATACTGTACACATTCCACATGTGCATTATACACAAGCACAAACTGTAAACTGCAAACTGCAATATTGGAATATAAAAACCATGTAAGAATCCTTTACATTTTTCCAAACGGTGAGAAACAAATAGCCAAGCAATCTTCCACTGACGGATTTTGACCATTGATCTTGAGAAGCTAAATAATATATTATTAATAAATAATAAATATAAATAATATATTATTAATAAATAATAAATATAAATAATATATTATTAATAAATAATAAATAAATATAAAAGGAAGAAAGAAGATGAAAGGGTAAAAAGATAAAATTGTAGATATATATTTAAATATATTAAATGATCATTAAGTTTGAGGAGACAAAGTCATAAATTACATGGGAGTTACAAAATTGAGGAGGGTTGAGAGGATAGAATTATAAATATACAAGTAAATATATTAAATGTTTATTAAGTTTAGAAGTAAAATCATAAATTACATGGGAGTTATAAAACTTTGGGCATGCGCCCTCAATTCTCAAGAAGATCCGCCACTGGAATCTTCCATTATAATCCTTCAAGGTACTTCTTTGTTTTTCGTTGAACTTTAGTTTTGGCTTGGAGAGATTTTCCATTCCAATGAGGACCTATTTTTTTTGTTTGTCGAATCTTTTCACAGATTCCATTAATAAAAAGACTCACTTCTATTAGTCTATTCAAATCTTAATCCGTGTTTGAGTTTCATCCTATGTTCAAATTCATCAACTAGTCTCATATAGTATACTTTAAAAAACTCAAATATGAACAAAAATTACTTTAAAAAATTATAACCTAGACACGACCTTAGTATTAAAAGAGTATACCTGCAAGTTAGTTAGGGTACTTTTTTGTTTAAAATTAAAATAATGACCGTGTCATAGTTGCATTGTCTACTGTTTGACATTTGATTTTTTTTTTTTTTTTAAATTACGACGCAATTAAGATTGTAACACTGGTTAAAACAAGAAAAGTTCGTTTTGAAAAGAAAAAATCAAGCCGAAATATTTTAATGTTAGATTATACTGATCGGAGTCATGTATGAAACACACGGATCTTGCTATGGCGAATTGAATATTATAAACGTAAAAAAAAAAAAAAATCAATATTAATATGATTGGTTCGGATCACATAAACAAGTTACATCTTTTTCTCCCTTTTACAACAATATACTGCATATAAATATGTGGAGAAAATAATTCAACAATCCCGATGCATCAATCTAGATCCACGTGACAACATTTGACAAAGTAAAAATGAGAAATCGATCAAATTTTGGATTTGTGATTTAAGAAAAACAAAAGGCACGTAGCCGACGAGGAACGACCCAGTCTAAGTTGAGTGAGTCATCAACCAGAGACCCGATGGTGGCTAGACTTGCAGCTCTGAAGTGCTTGCAGAGACTTTACATTCGGAGACGTTGTGCCACACATCACCGATGATGGCTGGGAACCAACCAAGATCCTCTGCAATTTTTCAGAACTGCATTAATCTCGTCCATTAAAATTATTATATTTCTTTAACTAAAAAGTTTTGTGGAATTTATATATGGAGATAGTGGGTGTGAAAACTGTATTTAGTGTTTTTCTGTGTAATTAACTAGAAACAACATCAGTCAGACTTGCATGTATACCATGAAACACAAATATGGATTGCCGTATATTTTTTGAACTGAAATTCTAAGACAATTTGATAAAAATATGTCTATTACATAATATATGCACATGAATTTTTTTAATTGTTACTTGGATTAGTTCGCATCATCCACAGGCTCGCAGGCTTGCAATTATAAGAGTCTTATTTGGGTCAATAAATTCAACCTCCGGCTCAACGCAACCAATCTCGTCTCAATTTTTGTGAGTCAAAAGCGAGAGGGGAGGGGGTTGAATTGTTATTCAAACTAGAATCAGGGAAAATAAACACCCACTTATAAGAAACCACCATATAGAATAAAACACTGATACTGAAGCACTTAGGCAGATTCTGAAGCACACTCAAAGCCAATTTGGTTACAGTTTTCAAAACACACGTAATAGAAGGAAAAATAAAATAAATCAAACTTCTCTTAAGTGAAACACCTCAACTCAACAATTTATATACAAAATAAGAGAATAATAAAAAGGTTGAAGGGCAAATTCTAAGTTAATTTTAAGTTTTAACTTATGATAGGAACTTGATTCATTTTATTTTCTTCTCCCATAGGTGATAGTTGATAAGTTTAATCAAACTGCTTCTTTCTTCTCTACTCTCTCTGCCCAACAATAGTTCCTACTTTTACTAATTGGTATTGCCATCATAATGAAAATAAAGCTAATAAGTGCTTAAAAAAAGAATAGACAATGAAGGTGACAATCATGAAGATTAAAAGAAATAAGTGAATGGCAATGAATATGACGACAGTCATTGGCAACATTGTGGCAGCTCTACGATAGGAAGCAGCCCTAAAATGTGTTTCTCCTTTGCCTGTAGGAGATGAAGTAAAGATTGGCTAAAACTACAGCAAAGAATTGAAATTGTAGAAGAGTGGGATTATATTAAAAGACTTGCATATAAGAGGTAAATGTCAGGCAGGAAAGCAAATTAAGAAACATTTGCAGTTCCTTTCAGTTGAGAATAATGTTACACACTTGCACTCTTCTTGGTGTTTGAGTACCATATTCCCAAGAAAACACTAACACTTCTTCAAGAGCCAAATGAAATATTTCAAAAATTCAAAGCCAGATAGCAAAATTGAAGGTTGTGTGAGCCATCCCAAAGTTGCCGACGAGTTGGAGAAAAGTTGGCAAGATGTATCAATCAAAGTTGTTGGATGGTAATACCAGATCTAGTTTCATAACCGAATAGCTAGTCCAATTGTTATCATTTTATTCTACTATATTCTCATACAAATCTTGAGTTCTTAAAAAATGACTTGTGGGTTTTAAGAAAATGCTTCATACTTGAATCATGACTTTTTTGTTTCTTCTGCGTCGATATGTCTCCAGGGGTTGAGAGCATCTCTTATTGCCTGAGCATCCGGGGAATTCTCCCAGGCACGCTTTTCGGACTCCAAAACAGTTACTTTGTCATCTGTACAAATACAAGGCAAGGAAAAATTGAAACAAACTCAATTTTTTATAAACTCTAAATCCTTTGATAAAAAAAGGAGAGTTTTTCCAATAACTAACAAAACAATTATTTACTTCTCTTCATATGCAAAATATTGTGTTGATTGGACAAATTGACCAAAACAAATAATGAGACAAGATATGTATAACAGAGTACAAGATATTTTCCAAATTTCATTTGCATTGGAAGGCCATGATGCTTCGCAAAACTCAATATTCACTATACATTAGAATGCAAAAGCAATATACTAATCTAGCAACCAAAATCAATAAGCTGCTAGTACTAGACAACTTTAAAGGTTATATCATATTTAAAGAGAATGGAAAATTATAATAAATTATAAAAAACAACTTTAGTAAGAGCATCAAATGGAGAATCAAGAAAACGGTAATGCAGGGCAAGAGTGGTTCGAGAATAAGAAAGGAAAGTTCTCACACAGAAGCCAGTTTTGATCATGAACACCTCCATAGAAGCCCCAACCAAGGCTGAGACAACCCCAATCTTCAAGTACCAATCAAGAAACTTCATTTTCTACGGAACGAAATGACAACAATGATTATTGAAGTTAAAACCTAATTAGATAAATTATTAATTGCAAATTCAACACTACTTCTAATCTAACAGAGATGGAAATAGTTAAACATGCTAACCGTTCAAGTTCAAACTTATTGTGCAAAATTACAATCACAACTAATGTACAATTGAATTTCCATTGACATTATCCAGAAGCATTTGAAATAATTACAGCCAGATAAGGAGCAAACTGAAGGAAGCAGGGAACACATTGTGATTCCAGAAAAATCTAACAGATTAAACACTGGAATCGATATCAAAATATGATTTTCACCAAAAGACAAGCGAATACACAGTTAGCAAAGTACCAAACGCATGATTAAAAAGTTAGATTCTACGCTGCTCAATGTTGATAAATCATAAATATTAAAACCCAACACATACCATAATTAGTTTCACAAGTCATAAAAGAACTCAAAATAACTAATACATTCATAATTGCCTAATAGAAATTATGAACGTAACAGAACACTCCAAATCTAAACGGCAGCAAGAACAGAAGAAAATATTCAGAACAAAAATTATAGAAATAGAACATTTAAAAGAAATATCTTTTAAATTGTTATAGTTTACTTAAATAATAAAATAAGAAGTACCTACAAGAAGAAAAACTCTGAACAGCAAAAGAACAACGACGCACCTCCAACAGTTGGAATCACTGTCTGCGACCACCAACGACGACGATGAAGGCAGTGCCGGGGGTAGTGATGCGGGAGTCGTAGATTGCGACGCAAACCTTGTCGAGGGTTATGCAAGCGTCGGCGACAGCAACGTGAGTGTTTCGCAACTAACACCCGACCGTTAACGAAGATGGGTAAGCTGCGATGGGCGGCGACAGCGATTGGCGGCGAGGTTGATGGGGGTGTTGATGATGAGCGCAGTGATGCAGAGGAGGAAGTGGTTTGGTTCTAATTTGCCATTGGGAATCTGAGGGAGAAAAGAGTCATCTTCTTAAATTTCTTTAGTTGGGTCGTTGTAAATCCGACCCGGAAAGCCCAACTACATGACTGGAACTGGAAAACAAACCCAAGCCCATTAGGTCTCCCATACGTACTAAAATTATTCAAAAACATTTATAAAAACAAATTTATAAATTTAGTACCATCAGGCTTTCCAACTTTTTTAGGTGAAAAAAAAAAAAAAAGGAAATCGTGAGAAACTTGTCCTAAACCGAATTGATGAAGAAAATAATAACTTTTTGATAAGCCTTTTGCATTATGGTGCACATATTCTCTTTTATGTGAAATATATTTTAATTATCTATTTAATTTTATATTTTTTTATATATATTGACCCTCATTATCATTTATATTTATTTATAATTATATATAATGAAGATTTGTTTTTAATCGTTCTTTAATATTATTAGAGAAAGAAAAATAAAAAATATCATAACTTAAAGAAAAAGTAGTTATTTATATATTTAAAAAGTAATAAATATACGAGAGAAAAAAAATGATTCATAATTAATGAAAAAAAAGTAAAGAGAAATAAAAAATAAAATTAGAAAAAAAATATTCTAAAATAATTACAAATACATAAAATATATAAATGCACCTATGTTTCTACCCACTTATATAAATATATTTTGTTGTACTGATTAAAAATATAACTAAGAGTAGTCATATTCGTCAAAATTTCTATTGAATGTTTTAAAATAAAACATAAAACAACATAAAAATTAAACTTAATCATATTTAACATCGAAAATATCTATATTTGAGCAAAACAAATGAATAAAAAATATAGAAATTAATTAATTCAAGTAAGGAAGAATCTAAAATAGTAGAAAACACAGTAAAAAAAATTGGTGAAGAAATACCCAGAAATGCGTTTACAAACATTTTAAGTATATGAATATTCTTTTAAAAAATAATAATTAACCTGAAACTCCATGTATATACATTATTTGGCAAGAGTTATAACGTGATAAAACACCTTAAATCTTATAAATAATATATTTTAAAAAATATCATTTAAATAAAATATTTATAAATTTATTTGTTTAAGTTCATACATAAAATTTCAAAAAACAAATTTATATGATATAATATAAAATTATTTTTCTTCAATTATTTTTTTTATTTTTTCACTTTATTTTATTATTCAATTAAAAATAATATATTACAATTTAATAAAATGAGTCTATTAACATTTATAAAAATAAATATATTTAAAAGATATAAAAATATTATAATTTAATATATTATATTTTAAAAAATATTATATGATAAATTTGACATATTACAAAATATTATTATGTTATAATCATTAAAAAATATTTATTTTAAAGTAATTTTTTAATAAATATTTTTTTAAAATTATCTAATATAATTAATTATCATAACTCAATTTAATTATAAACTAAATTCAATTATTAAGTAAAAAATACATTTAATTTATAAATATTTGATATTTTTTTAATTAGATGAGTAGTTATATATTATACTAAAATGATTTTAAATTAATTATTTACTTCATCTTAAATAAAAAAATATTGTCATAATAAATATTTTTTGTTAGTTTCAATGTTAATTTTTAAATATTTGTTTGATTACCATATTTTTATTAATTTTCAATGTAATAGTTTAATTAAAATAATAAATGGGTAAAGAGAAAAAAAAAAAAGAGACATGAGAAAGAAAAAACAGAGAAAATTGATAGAGATTTTATTTGAGTTTTTTTTTCTTTAAAAATATTATTTACAAGATTTATTTCATGTATTTGTTTCCTTGAAGTTCCATAACATGAAGATGAAATTATCCTGATAAGATGATATTGTGTGAGAGAGCCTAAAAATAAATTATATATTAAAGACAAATACTAAAATTCAACGGGCAAACTTTAAGTGTTCTATTAAATTTAAATTTTTTATCTTTCAGAAAATATCTTAATGTAAAAAAAAAAAAAAAGTTTATTTTCTAGAGATATTTTTATATATTTCTTAGAAGAAAAATAGTAGATTTTAAGGTGAGACCTTGTCTATGGTTAAGATGTCTGTGGTATTTTTATTTTTGAAACATCATCTCCTCTTCTGATGTGTGGCACCTTCATTTAAGACTTTCATTTTCACTTACAGGTTAAATTTTTTGTTGTGTGGTTTATATGTTTAAGTCATTATCTAACATAGCTGTGGCATTTAAGATCGTTCAAAAATCTGAAATTTTTTTAGATTAGTTTATTAAAAAAGTTTATGGATTGTGTTCCACAAAATTTATTCCAAATTTAACAATTCAGAAACATTTTTCTATTATATTTATTTTTATAAGGAATAATGTAGAATGTAATTTCAAAATATTACTTCTAAATGTATTCTTCGATTAGTTGTTGTGGAACGTAATTATGAACTAAGTAATTTTAATTTTTTTTTATGGATTATCTAATCTAAAATAATTTTAGAAAAATGATTTTTTGAATAACTAATTTAAATTTCATCTTGAATCTTGAATATTTAGAACAAAACTGTATTTATTTTTGTACGTGATACAAATAAGGGATGTATAATCTTAGCTAGAACTAGACACTTTTTGATCTAATAAATCCTTTAAACACAATAACGAAAATAAGAACAATGAAAGGAAATGATGAGAAAGATTTAGGATTTATAAAATAAAATAAAATAAAACGTAAAAAAAAAGTAGATACATATATAAAAATGATATTTATTTTAATTATATGCTGGAAAAAAAATTGGGTTGCAAAAAATCAGCAATGAAGCTGTACAAATTTTTTTATATAACCCTCGGCCTGACCCATTTGACATTAAAGATAGAATTGTAGGACTTTTTACATATTTTATCAATAAATAAAATATCTGTTCACTCAAATGTCGAATTGTAATTATAAACTTTCTTTTTTGAAAAAATAAAATCCATCTCAAAAAGAAAAAGTGAAGAATCTTAATATTTCGAGCAAATTACAATAAGCCTCTAAGTTTTATGATTATTATACCTGAAATCCTTCTTTATTAGACATAAAAAAAAAAAACAATCTAATTGTTATAATTTCATTATAAGTTTCTCTCAGTAAAAAAAATAAAAATGTTCCTTTTTATTAATAATGTGATACTTAACATTTTTTTATTTCCTAAATATCTATATGCATGTTGAAAGTCTTATCCAATTTTTTATAAATGTTCTTCTAAAGTCTAAGATTTGTCTTTAATCTATCCACATAAAAATAGTGAATTCAATTCAATTGCTAGCTATAATACACCACAAATTCATATTCCAAGGACAAGGTACTAGTTACATGGCATTACATTTTACATTTTATTTCAAAGTTAATTTTAATTACGTATCATCTACTTTTTCATTTTATGCAAAACTAGTCATAATCTATGTATAAAAAAAAAGTCAAATAAAATATAATACGCTAATAGAGGGAGAAATAATGCAATATTATAACTGTACCAATTTAATTTAATGGTTTAATGATGTACAAATAATCAAATTTTATATTGAATAAATAATTTCACCAAAACTAGTTTTACTCTCAATATTTTTTTCATTTGTTTCTATTTTTTTTCTAAAAAAACTAATAGTCTAATTTTTAAAACCTCCACAAAAAATTACATAAAAATAAATTGATTTGGGCTATATAGTTTTGGGCTTTGTACCCAGGCTGGGCTTTTGAGTCTTCAATTTGAAGCGTATCCAATTTGAACTCCTATCAAGTAGTAAAACCCAAACCAAATTCCGGAAGCAGAAATCGATAGGGTGAAATCTCAACCGTTAATTAACCAAATTAAAAACAAAGATCTAACGGGACACGTCATCGATCCGCGTGAAACCCTATTCTCCAATAAGAAGCCATCTCTTAACCCTATATATATTTTCACTCTTCCCATCTGTCCCTCATCGCATCACAATTCTCCCATCATCTTACGCCTACGAATTCGCAACCCGTATTCGCATCTCTCATTTTTCCAATGGCACCGGCAAAGGGTGAGAAGAAGCCCGCGGAGAAGAAGCCGACGGCTGAGAAAACTCCGGCGGAGAAGAAACCGAAGGCAGAGAAGAAGATCTCGAAGGAGGGTGGGAGCGATAAGAAGAAGAAGCGCGTGAAGAAAAGCGTTGAGACCTACAAGATCTATATCTTCAAGGTCCTCAAGCAGGTGCATCCGGACATCGGCATTTCCAGCAAGGCCATGGGTATCATGAACAGTTTCATCAATGACATCTTTGAGAAGCTTGCGCAGGAAGCGTCGCGTTTGGCACGGTACAACAAGAAGCCTACCATTACCTCAAGGGAGATCCAGACTGCCGTGCGTCTTGTGCTCCCTGGAGAATTGGCCAAACACGCCGTTTCTGAAGGCACCAAGGCCGTCACCAAGTTCACCAGCTCTTGAATTAGGATCTGTTAAGCAACTGTGTTGTGGATCTAGGGTTTCATGTGGAATGATTTTTTTTTTTTTTTTTAGTGTGTAGATGTAACGATCTGAACTGTTTTTAATGGAAGCTTTATTATGAATAATTATACCTGCTTTTATTGTGAAACTGGTTTTTATTTTTTTAATCATTTCTATTGCGTTGAAGGTGAATATGGGTCCAATAATGTATTTTTGTTCAATTTAAGTTTCTATCACAGTGCACTGGTTTTTCAATTATTACTTCAAATTGAGAAATAAAGTTTACACCATTTGAAGCCAATTTTTCATTGCACTAGAGAATTGATTTTGGCTTGAGAGTGTTTTTGGGCTGCTATGTGGACTTGATGTATTAGTTGTTTTTCACTTTATTTTTATGATGTCACAATTTTCTGTATTGTAACATTAATTAATGTATACTATATTTTTTGGTAAAATTTTTGTTTATACATTTTTTATTATTTAGTGTCTTGATTTCTTGTGGTTTACAGAATAGTTGTTCTTTGTGGTAGTGATGTAGTTTGTTGGGAGGCCTATTTCAATAATAATTTTTATGTAAACAAGAATCAGATAACGACCATCAGAATTGAAACTCAATTTGATGGGTGTTCTGGAGAATTGGTAATACTTCACGGTACTGAATGCAAAGATTTTGCATTATACATGGGTCCATCTAAAAAACTAGTCCTATTTTAATTTTAACTAGAAAAGTTGGGGTTATAAGGTTTAGGTCCAAATAAATATTTAAAAATCTCTTCAACAAAATATTTACTCAATGAAATTATTTTTAAATTCATTCTATTCTTTCAAAATACATTATATTTAAGATTAAATTACACATATTAAGATAAGTATTGATGTTTATTATTTTTAATAAATTTGTTAGTACTTTTTATTAATATCTTTATTATTTTGTTATTTTGCTCTAAACTTATTTTTAATCATTTATTATCTTTTCTCTATGATAAATATAATTACAAGATAAAGATATAATTATTAAACATATAACTAATATAATTTTAATTTTTATGAATAATATATATTTAAAAGTAAATTTTTCTTAATAAAATATCGTATATTTCGAAAGAATAATATATAAAAAAAAGTTACACAGATGAGATTTTTGCAAACTTTTTATTTTTCTTCAATTTTTTTCCTCCAAACCATAATATATCTTGTCAGTCAATTAGGAATGACAAATTGGAAAATCGAATAGACTGAATAAATTTGATTTTAGATTATAATAGGTTAAAATAAATTATTAATTCATTTTGATATTTTTTATAAATATTAATAGAATGATATACAAAACAATGAGATGAATTGAATTGAATTTATTTTTAATTTTTTACCATAAATGAATGTGACGAGATAAATGAAAGTATATTAAGTGCAGTGTAGTGTAGGGTCAATACACATAGTATTGATGAAAAACAAGAGGACTGAAATGAAATAAAAAGAATTGAATTATCTGGATAGATAAAAAATGGGGCTTGACACGGTAAGTGGTTTAAAAAAGTAGTGAAACGTGTTACGACAACATTTCTTCTTACCAATCCAGGACACGACCTATCCTATTCCCACCACGCTAGAACCAACTATAAATACAACTTCACCCTCTTCCTTTCAATTTCATTTCCCTTGACGCCTTTTCCTCCCTTTCCTACTTTCTCCACGTTACTCAGATCTTCGTCAACAATCATCTCCCTATCAATAAATTCTCTCTTACACAGGCTTTATTGATATTAATCTTTCAACAACACTCGAATCTCTCTTGAATGTGCAACGATATCTGATCGAATGTTCTTCTGGTTGAAATCGCACAGAGACTTTCGGATTTCGGTGTAAAAATTAGGGTTTTCCACGATGCCTTCGCTTCCCTTTGGACTCCTTCTACGCCATCTGCTACCTTCCTTGGCCATATTCCACGCTGGATCCTCCTCTCGTCGTCTTAAACATCTTGAAAAAAGTGATCGGCGTTGTAGTCTTAGTTAACATTACCACTTTTTCTTCCGCTTGTTTCTCTCTTCAGTTTTTCTGTCTTTGTTGTTTTTCCTTCTTCGATCTTTCGATTACGAAATTGGGATCGAGGCGTTTTTTACCGTTGTTTCTCTTGGTGTTGCGTTGACTTGAAGGAACGTGAAAATTTTGCCGCTCTAAACTCCGTCGTTTAAGGTATATGATTTGAATTTCATGAAACATAACTGATATATGTGCGTGCGTTAGCACATATTTGTTTGTAGTTCATGGAATAATAGTGGTGCTTATATGGTTGTCTTATTTGCTGTTGTATTCAGATTATTTTGTATCCTCATTTTAAAATAGGAAAAAGTTAAACGTACACCTTCGGTTATGTTAATTGTAGACAAAGTTTTGGGCCGATTGATTTGATGGATAGTGTTGATTTTTATGGAAACATGGGATCTTCTTAGGATTTACTTATTTGGTATTTTGGTGCTAGTATTTGCGAACTAGTCACGGTAACATCCTAAGCTGAAAACATTACCTGTGGGACTGTTTGATTTATATGTAAGTCTTCACATGTTGATTCGTCCTCATTGGTATCGATATCCTTGTTTTATTGCTACTGTATTGTTACATCTAATATTACCACCATGATATTGATTAATTCCTTTTTGTAGATATTTGATTTCTTCATAGTCATGAGCACAACTGGACAATGTGTTTGTTAATGCTTGTGTATGAAGATTATTTGTAATGTTTTTTTTTTGCTTAGTACTCATCAAATATTTATTTTGTCGGGTTGTTGCTTGTAGTGCCTAATACTATTAATGGGCACCCTTGCTACTGTTAGTGATGTCCATGACAACATCATAAGTAAGCTTGAAGGTACTTTTATGGAGTCATTACATATACAAGATGCTCAGAAACCAAAAGATGCGTCTGAGGTGGATCATATTGATAATTGTTACGTGAAGGAGAACTTGTGCGGAGGTTTGGAACCGCAAGAAACGAAATTAGAGATAAAGTGCTTGAAAGAGTGTTCAACGTTTCCTTATCCTGATATGATACAGCCTTCAAGTTCGTCTGACGAGGAAGCAGATACATCACTCTCTAAGCAATCTCCTCGTCAAAACTACTCGTGCTCAGTATCTTTGCAAGTAAGTTGTTAATGTTTGAATTTCTGAAATGTTATTTTATTCAATGAAACAAAAAAAGGTTTATTCCGGTTTCTGCTATGCAGATTATCAGCACTCTGTGCTTTTACTTTAATGAGGAAATACATCAAAGCGTAATGGGCTATTTATCTTATCCTTTTGAACGATACTAATGTTTAAGCTGAATTGTTGCTTACGTGTTCCTCTGTAGGGCATCAGTTTGTTGGTGTATTTTATGCTGTTCATATGCAAACATTCATAGTTATTTAGCACTTTGCAAATTGTGTAATTACTATTTGTAAATTCCTGTCACCTCTTTTAATTTTTCTTTCTTTTTCCTTGCAATGGTAAGCTAGAACGTTATGGCTGCTTATTATGTTGCATACTGTAGTTTATCTCAGATATCCAACCCATAATAGGAGGGTGGTTGAACAGTGCTGTTCTCCGTGCTAGGATTTGGGGTTTCCCTGCTGATAGAGTGTGGATGTTTTTATTGGGGGAAAAAAACTTTGAAAGGTATAATTTATAAGTTAATAAATTGAAAGTGTCTCGGAGCATTTCCCATTCTTGGTTTCAACCAAACAGAAAGACAGAAACGAGGTTTAAGTTGACTGGAAAGTTGTAGGATGATAATATAATTAGCAGATGTGCACCTTAACTTGTGTGATAGAATCAGAGGCCGCAGTATGGTCTTTGGCATATATTATTGGCAGCTAGTCTTTATAAGCATTTGCTGTTTTTGCTTATTGATTTCCATTTTTCTGTGCTTTACACCACAGGCACCTCCGAAACTTGTATCTGCCATGAAGGGTAGCCGTGAGAAAGAGGGGGGATCTCAAATTAAATTAACTGTGAAATGGGCCCCTGATGTGTATGATCCGGTACCTACGTTGTCATCACATACTGTTAAGAACAAGAAACATCAGAAATCCAGGATGAAGAAGAGTGAAAAGAAAAATGGAAAGAAGAGCCAGAAGGTTTATTACTCTAGAAGAAGCAGCAGCAGCAACAACAAAGATAAACAGTATCGAAACAGGTGGCTGCATTCTCGAGATGAACTGTTTGAAGCTTCCACTGAATTAGATGATCTTAGTGTTGCTAACCATGATTCCAACTGTGGAACTAGCTACTTAAAAGCATCAGTTACAAAGGTTCACTGGCCCATTGGAGAAGCTCTGTAACATGATTGTGTGAATCATATGTATCGAGACTGCATAAGTAGATAATATCCTGTTTTGTTGTATGATGATTGACCAATGCTTTTGGAACTTGCAATGTACCGGGCCAAGCGGAATAATGTAAGATGCATCCTTTTTTGTTAACTAATCAGGCTTCTAGGTAGCATTGCTGGAAGGACCTTTAAACGGCTGATATTTACATGACTGGAATCGGCATAGCTAGTTTCTGCTATCGCCATTGAAAGCACAGCTGTGACTGCAGGCATAAGGCAAATTTTGGTTACTGCACTGAAAAATAAAGGTCAACACTGTTTTCAGTGCCTACACGTACCACAGTCAATTCATTTACCAATCAGGAATTAGGGAATTACCATTATGAGCACGAATAACAATCTAATCGTGTGCTGTTGTTGTGCGCGCTTGCCTAATAGAATACAGGGTCAGAATAGAGAGATACACAATGTAACATTCCAACAAACTGACGAAACAGGTTCCTCAAACATTTATTTATAACACTAATCAAATTTCTATATATTGATTTCAGTAGTTCTTCAATTTTATAGGTCTTTTTTATATTGAATCCAAGACACCACACTTCCAGTGCAATCAATTTGATGCAAAACGGGGAGAAGAAAGAAACTATTTTGCATCGAAGTGCAGACTGCTTGAAGATGAATTTCGTGGAAGAACTTTATTTACTTTATTTTTTTTCTTATGCACTTTATATAAAACTAAAGTGTAAAAGATGAAATCCTAATATTAGCATTGTCCTTATTTTAAAATTTAAGTCTAAATTATAAGTTTATCTAAATAATATCCTAAATGTTATAAATATTTATAAGTTTATTTATTTACAAAAGAATAAAGATAAAAATAAAATAAAATATAAAAGATCATCCAACTAATTGCCATAAATTCAAAATATTCAAAATAATATCTCCAAATATGAAATCAAAAATAAAAAAAAATCTTACATAATATTTAACTAAATCATAATCCAATCCTCATGACTAAGCCAATGTACGTTTGAGAATTTCCAGTTGGTTATGTTGTGTACTCAGCATTTATTTTAACGTAATCATAGCTTAAATCACAGCCCCATGCTTGTCCACGTCCTGGTCCATTGCCTATTAATAGGAAAGGAATATCAATGGTAAATATAACAATGTACGTGGTATTAATTCCAGACTTAATAAAAAAAGAAAATGAAGTCTACTGTTGGCTATAACTTACCAACTGATAACTGTATTCTCACTGTGTCGTGAGTCTCCCCAGCCTTTCGGAGATAAGTACTTGCCGCGTGCCTGCCACGATTACAAGCTTTAGGAGATTGTACAATGAAGCACAACACAATTGCAATCATGGGCAGATTCTAAGTTGCATGAACAAAGAAGACCTCGTATAAAAAACACTCATAAAAATGTACATGAACAGATATTAGTTAGATGGATGATAGATGAATTTTTGTTCACTTTAAGCATGATTTTAGCAACTAAAATTGAATATTAAATTACAATTATTTTGACAAGAAAGAGGGAAACAATCTATTATCTTTTTTGAAGACAAACTAATACCTGGCAATTACATTAGAAAAATACAACTCAATTCTGAAGAGAATCTCCTGCTAGGAAAACCTAAATGCTAAGATGTTACTCTACTTAGCTTTCATTCTTGAGTTTTTATTATGTGGGCATATTAATATTTGACTAGATGATTCATGTTTAATTAAAGTAATACCCTTCACAGCATCGGAAATTGTACATTTACTAACTGGTAGGAAATAGATTGGTTGGTGTCTAGGCTTGTTAAGGATTTACTAAGAATAATTTGTTGTAGATAGGGTGTCGACTCTTTTACTAATTTTCCAACGTAAGATAACCTAAAACGGAAGTCCTACCGATCAAACAACTGTGGTTCCCCACCATCCATTAGTAAAATATCCCCCAACTCCACCCTAAGTACATATTGATGGAATGAAACCCCTGAGGAACCAGCGGCAGCGGCAATGCGTCCCCAATTGGGGTCTCTACCATATATAGCGGCCTGAAACGTTATATTAGACAATTAGACTTAGCCAGATTAAGGTAAGAGAATTCTTTGGTTCAATTGTCATGCCTTTACAAGTGAAGATGATGCAACTGAGCGTGCAACTTTTGCAGCTTCAGCTTCACTGTTTGCTCCAGTCACACTGACCTGCAAAATAAAATGGAATTGATGATAAATAACAATATCAAGCAAGAACGGGTCCACATTTTCACTAGGCAACTACCTCAAAATCAAAATCATACAGATATAGACAATAAGAGTTGGATAGAATAGTAAGTGTCCGTATGACATCAGCACCACGGCTTATTTATCTTAGTAAAAAGCAATAGCAGATGTTTACACAAAATGAATGGGCCTCTCTTTCTCTTGTTAGCCTCCCCTTCTGGCTGCCACAGTCTCTTTATTTTTATTTATTTTTTACATTTTTACCCAATAAATTGCTCATATCTTATGCTTTGTTCAGATTGCTTCTATAATGACAGATCTTATGTCTCTGCTGTCTCTCTTAGGAGGCGGGGGATTGGTTTTCCAATTTTTGGGTGTCTTTTGTCATTCTGCTGTCGTTGGCTCTATCCTAATGGTCTCACAGATAATTCCATTTTATAATAGTTGTTGGCTCTGTCGAAACAGTCTCATAGACAATGGAAGAAGTGGTAATTAACTTTACATGTTGAAACACTTTCAATATTGGTCTCCAACGTGAAAACTGCTGTCAGACCCAACATTTTTATTCGTTAGTAACAAAATTTTGAATTGATGACGTTCTTTCAAAACAAGGAGGACAAGATGAAAAGCATCATCAGTTCTGTCAGTAAAGATGTTTTCAATCAAGTTTCATGCACAAGAAATGTGGAGAACTAATACTGGATGTATAAAAGAAACGTTAACATTAAATCAATAGTCATGATGCAAATATCCTTGGCACAAAAAGCCTACCTCAATGAGGCATGTTGCTCCCTCTCCATCCCAAGCTATTGATTTGGCAAGACCTTGCATTACCTGGAAATAACATACAATTCAAAACTTCACATTTGCTGCTGACAGATCACTTTGGAAGAATAGATTACATGCATCTAAAGGAAACAATTTAAAACTTCACATTTGCTGACGCATCCACTTTTGAAGAATAAATTAAATGCTTCAAGTAAATCACAGAACTTTAACGTAAGGATGACAAAAAGTAAATTTCAGCCATTTTTGCAGGCCTTTTTCTTGAAGGAAGGGGTGCAGGGGAGATACTTCATCTTAATATTAAAAAGAGAGAAGGATATTTAGAGGGATTAATCACACCACTCTCATGATCCCATATATATAGATTCAGATAAGTACAACTCATAAAATACATTTAAATTCAACTGCTACCAATCTACATTAATTCTAACAGCCACTTGTAATACTTCTAACAATCACCTAACTGCAGTAATTCTAATACTTCCCCTTAAGCTGGAGCATACAAATTGTATGTTCCAAGCTTGGAACAACAAATTTCAATCGGGGATCCCTTTAAGGATTTGGTTAGCACATCTGCAATTTAATCATTAGAATCAACATATCTTTTTTGACAACAACTTCTCTCGCTTAAAATGACAGACAATCTCTATATGCTTAGTTCTCTCATAAAATATTGAATTAGAGGCAATGTGGAGAGGAACTTGGTTATCACAATACATCTTTGTTAGAATTATTATTTGGTAGTGGTTGTTTTTTAAATGTTGTAATCCTATATATATGAGATCATAAAGTGGAGTGATGCATCTCACTAAATTATAAATCTTCTTTTAACTTGGTATCAGAGCAGGTTGATCCTATTCTGCCTTTCCGGTTACTTTTTTGTTGCCATCCAACAACCTTCCAGTGACTTTCCGGCCTCCGTTCCACTACAGTTGTCCGCTGCTGCCATTTGTCAGTTTTCTTATAAAGTGAAAATTGATACTTCCCTCTCTATCTAATTCTGTCTTAGGTGTTCTCCTTCATCCAGGTTCCATTGTCTCCATCTTACATTATTTAAAACATGTCGTCAAGGCCCACAACCTCCTTTTTCGGAACTCCCACTATAACGATTGAGAAATTAAATGGAAAAAATTACATGTCTTGGTCCTCTTCGGTGGAACTTTGGTTCCTTGGACAAGGGTTTCACAATCATCTAGAAGAAGACGAAAGTAAGATACCAGAAGATCAGGCTCAACAATGGAAAAAGCTTGATTATCAACTCTGTGTTCTTTGTGCAATCAGTAAAACCAAATATTTTTAACACTCTCAGATCCTTCAAAACATGTAACTCTTTTTTTCTGAGCTTTTTTCCAGAAAGAGTTACATGTAACTCCAACGCCTCTATGATTCCACTAATCGATTAGCTTCTCTCAAGCAAGTGGATAAAGATATGATGACCTTTATTGCTGAAGCTCAATCAACAGTTGAATAATTAAAGATGATATTAAAAGTTATTGAACAATTCAATAATTTGGTTAATTGACTTTAGGAAATGAGACTGAAGGAACAAAAAGTCATTTGGGAAGATATTCAAAGCCTTTTTCCAGAAAGAGTTACATGTTTTGAAGGATCTGAGAGTGTTCAAAATATTTGGTTCTACTGATTGCCACAATAGAGCACAAAGTTGATAATCAAACTTTTTCCATTGTTGAGCCTGATCTTCTAGTATCTTACTTCTGTCTTCTTCTAGATGATCGTGAAACCCTTGTCCAAGGAACCAAAGTTCCACTAAAGAGGACCAAGACATGTAATTTTTTCCATTTAACTTCTCAGCCGTTATAGTGGGAGTTCCAGAAAAAGAGGTTGTGGGCCCTGACGACATGTTTTAAATAATGTAGATGTAAGATGGAGACAATGCAACCTGTAAGAAGGAGAACACCCAAGATAGAATTAGATAGAGAGGGAAGTATCAATTTTCACTTTGCAAGAAAACTGACGAATAGCAGCAACGAACAGCTGTAGCGGAACGGAGACCAGAAGGTCACTGGAAGGTGGTCGGAAAGTCGTCGGACGGTAGCAAAAAAGGCAGAACAGTAGCAACCTGCTCTGATACCAAGTTAAGAGAGTAAAAGAGAGTTAAAAGAAGATTGATAATTTAGTGGGATGCTTCACTCCACTCTATGATCTCATATATATATATAGGATTACTGCATTTAAAAAAACAACCACCAACTACTAACCACTAACCACTACCTAATAATAATTCTAACAGACTTAATGAAATAAGATTGAAGGGACAAGAAGGAACAAAAAAAATAGATTTTAAAAATTCAAGGAAGGAGAAAGACTTGACCGACTCCTTGAGATGCAACTTTAAAGCCATTAGGTAAAGTTATAAAATGATGACTTTTCTAAGTTGTTGTCAAACTGAGAGTTGTAAATGATCATGCCAAGATGTTGGATTTCAACCTTAGATGCTCTTGATATTCTTCCTCAGAAGATTTTGGTTCAGCAACATCAGCTTTAGAGATATGGGCAGACTTGTCAGAAAAACAATGCAAACCGAAACAATTCTCTTGAATATGACCCATCCTTTTACAATATGAGCATTGAGGACTACCTCGACCACCACATCCTCTTCTAGCATGGCATCCTCCTTTTCCACATGTGGAAACCATGACAAAAGATTCCTTAGGCTCATGAACATTTTTACTTTGAAAAGTAAGAACATGAAGAAGACGAGTGATTAGGCTTTCCATAGATAGAACTTCATGCCCTTTAGTAGTTGATCTCTAACATGTTTGAAGTCAGGATGCATGGCTCGGAGTATCATCACCATATTAAATTTATCAAATTTCTTCTTGATTTCTTTTAATGACTCTACTTCCAAGAACATTTTTAACTCTTCACTCGCAGATTGAGCTTCACTCATGAAGGATATCATATCATGATTAGATTGTTTAAGGGAGGCAAGCCTATTTACAGAGTTATATAGGCATAAAATATCATTTGCATAGATACTATGAGTCTTTTTCCAAAAGGAGTTACAAGTTTTAAATGATCTAAGAGTACCCAACAATTTGGCTTCCACAGGCTGCCACAATAGCATAGAGTTGAAAATCAATTCTCTTCCACTGTTCAGTTTTATCAGGAGGCACCGTACTTGCATCTTGTTCAAGGTGATCATGGAGACCTTGGCCAAGGAACCACATTTCAATGGAAGCAGACCAAGAGAAATAATTTTTTCCATTCAATTTCTCATGAGTGATGGTAGTAGGAGTGCCTAAGAAAGATACAACAAGTCCGAAAGACATGTTTGCTGGAGCTTTTATAGGAGACTGCAGGATAATGAAAAGATACAACGATGATAGCAATGAGAGGTAGCGGTCGGAGGCCGCAGCCGGTGGCCAGAAGCGGCGACAGCGGCCGACGGCGATTGAAAACAACTCGCTCTTATACCATCTTAATATTAAAAAAAGAGAAGTATGTTTAGAGGGGTTAATACACCACTCTCATGATCCCATATATCTAGATTCAGATAGGTACAACTCATAAATTACATTTAAATTCAACTACTAACAATCTATATTAATTCTAACAACCACCTATAATACTTCTAACAGTCGCCTAACTACAGTAATTCTAACACTTGATTATTTACAAGGAAAAGGAATGGGGATTATGAATACATCACCCCTTGCATATTATTGAATATCTAATACCAAATGGCCTATGACACTACTTCCGGCAAAACAGTCAGTCCTTCATTTGCCAATTGGGAAAAGCTTCCAGCAAAAGCTTTAAGTACATGCCTATGGTAATTTGTTCAAAGGAAAAGAATAAAAATATAAGATGACAAAATAGTGATGAAACTGTACAAGGTCAACTTTACCGCATCTAGGCATGCCTGAAGTTGAATAGCTTCATCACTGTCTAAAGAAGATATGCAGCCTAGCCCAGACAACCCACTAGCCAAAGCAATGACAGTATCATTAGTACTAGTATCTCCATCTACCTGTAGTAAAATAATGTAAAACAACAAAAGAATCAATACAATACAAAAAATATGGGTAAAAGCTTTGGAGATAACATGGCATCACCTTGCACAAGAGAAATTACATTAAATTTTGCTAACAATTTTTTGACATACAATACTACTAGTTTCAATTGTGAAATTATAGCAACCAGTTTTTGCATTTGTATTAATGGAAAACACTGAAAAGAATTTAACTGAATACATACAGAAAAGGTGAGAAAAACACATACAGTTATCTGATTGAAACTTCGGCTTACAGCAACTTGCACCATCTTTCTCCAAACAGCACTGCTTACCCGAGCATCAGTTGTTATTACCTGGAGTAGATATAGTTCAAGGAATGAACTGGAGGATCTGTATATTCCAAGTAAGAAAGAAGCAAAAAATACGACATACACCAAGCATGGTAGCCATATTTGGGTGGATCATTCCAGAACCTTTTGCCATTCCCCCAACTCTGATCATAGTTTGTCCAACCTAACCAACACCCAACAATAATAAGAATAAGACTATCTCGCTTTTACTCAATCTTCAAATTAGCAAATAGAATTTGGGAATAAACCAGACATGTTTCACGAAATTAATTCCCAAACTGCAAGAGCTGAAGTTTCTGTCTTAGGAACTTGAACTTCATATGATTATGGGAACCTATCATACCCATCAATGTAGGAATATCCAAAAAAACAGTCAAATTGTTGGTCATTTTCCCATAGCCCTAAAACTTTCCGCCTGCTGAGTGCCAACTTATGCATACCAATAACTCATCCAAGTGAATTGAAAAAGGCAATTTTATGATTTATCCATAGGACTAATTAAATCCACACAATGTCAAATGTGTGTATTTATAATATATGTATGTCCTTCTAAAACAATAAAGGTTTAATTACTCATTTGGTCCCTATACGTGCATAATTTTATGTTTAATATCCATACTAGAAACTACTCAATTTAGTTCTACCCATGCACTTTTTAATCTGTTTTAGTCCCTAACGTCCAAAGTTTTAAGAACTAAAACAAATAAAAAAGTGTATTATAGGGAGTAAAATGAGTTAAATGTATGTCTATAGACTAAAATGAGTAGTTTCTAAGCATAGAGACTAAAATGTAAAGATTGTGCATATATATATATACCAAATGAGTAATCAAAATAAAATATGAACTAGTTGTGTTAATTTAAAACGAGTGAGCAAAAATAGTAACAAGTAATACCAGAGACTCAATTGCCACGCTCTTGCTAACAAGATCTGTTGTGGTCATTGCCACTGCTGCAGAATCTGCCCTGTATGCAAGCTAATAAGATTTGATAAACAAATGACTGAATGAAGGATAGAAAGTTAGATACAGCAAGTGTTGTTCAGAGCTATGAACTTTTCAAAGAATAAGAAACCAAAAAGAAAACATCATGAATACAAAGATCATTTAATGATCAAAGAAAACAATTTGATTTCTTGACATGATTGCATGTCAATTATAAAAATTGAAAGTAAAATTAAATCAAAACACAGGAATTACCCCTCAACTGAAGATGATAGTGAACTCGCTAGTGTGGGAAGTGCGTTTAAAAGTGCTCCCTGCAGATAAAATGAGAAGTATATAAAATTGAAAATAAAGAATTTAAATTTGTTGGAATAATTTTCAAATGGCATGTCCAGAATTTTGTGAATGCTTAGTCCATAACAGAAAGTCATGTCACAAAGAACACAAGCAAACGTGATATAAAACCAGTATGCAGTCTCTCTGCATTTACCATCTTTATTCTTTGACCAATTACACCAGTGGACTCAACTAATACTTCTTCTGGCTTTATTTTCAGCAGCTGCAATTGTAGAACATTTCGATAAACGACTAAGAAGAAAGCCCTTGGACATGGAGCACTATAAGCAGAGTCAATTTAACACAAAGAAAGGATGCATACCTTGGCTAGGCTTTCCACACATTCTATCACATCCTCATAACCTTCTTTGCCCTGGAGACATGAAAGGCCTCAACCACTATTTTTTTTTTTAATTTCACAAAAAAGAAAAAGTTATACGAACTAATATCATGGAAAAACAGTTATGAATCCCCTTGAGTAACTAGAATGAAACTACATTTTAGTAGACTATTTATTTAATACAACCCACACAAGCACAGACAACAAAATTTTGGTGACCTACCGTAGCTGCATTTGCTTGACCTGCATTAGTCAACACAGCACGGGCCTGAAAAGTTGCAACATTGATTAATTAGTAGGCAATCAAGCAAGAAATATTGAGTTTCAAAAGAGAAACAATGCAAACACGTTATACTACAGGAATCTTAGCCGGAGGATGCACAAATTTTAGTTCATAAGTGAAACTTTATTGACTTTATTACCTCTTTTATAAGTATTTATTGTGAAATTTATCCACATATAGTTATAGTCAATGAAACTGCTTATTGAGAAAACTGAGTAGCACAAACTAGGAAAGAAGAAACAAAAAAGTCTGTTACAGTATTGGAAATATCTAACGTCCTTTTGCAGTACAACACGGGTGCAGCCGAAACCACGTTTGTCGTAAATGATCCTGAAAGAAATTCAATTTGATCACGTTCAGTTCACACCAAACGCAAAATTAGCATCTGTAAAAATCAGCAAACAAACCTGCAGACACAGCATCAACATCGCACGTGACAAGCGCGAGATCGGGCTTTTCTCCTTTGGCACGTAAACCGCCGTACTTTCCCGCAGCTTTGAACCCCTTCGCAGCAGTAACTCCACCAGGAATCTGAACGAAAGCTCAAAATGAAACACTCAGATACTAATAAACAAAACAGAGTCCAATATTTTCCACTTCAAGCTACACTAAAAAAATAGTGATATCGAAACAATGTGGCGTTCTAAGAGAAAGTTTCCTCTCGTAAGAAAGCGACCTGTTTCCACGGTCCGTCTGGGAGAAAAATTGGAGCGGCCGGTATGTGATTCTCTGGGGTTGAAACAGCACAAATTCTCATATCACGCAGGGAAGAATTAAAAGCCTGCACAAGAGGTTAATTGAAAAATGTTTTCTCTCAGCGAGTAAACGACATCGAACATACATTGAAGATCAACGACAGAAAATGCATTGATGATCAGAAGAACGAGAGAAAGAGATACAGTGAAGATTGACCTTTGTGCTTGGGGAAGATGCGAAGTGAAGGTGCTGAAAAATGCAGGAATACATTTTTGTGTGATGTAATGTTTTAGGGTTTTAGCGGTTTGATTTTGGTGAGAACCGGGGTAGGTAATAACTTGGTCGAGTTTCGTCTTTGTTACTCTCAAAAGTGGTAAGGTTTTAAAGTTCCCAAACTTTTTAGTTAACATTCACTCGTGCGAAACTGTTATGATACTTTTTTACTTGTTTATTAAATATATACAATGTAGTGAATCTTATTTTTAAAAAATTAAAGATGAATAAATAATTCCGTCTGAAATGTGTAGAGTATCTAGTTTATACTTTCGTTCTTAAATATATGAAAGTTTTAAATATAAGTATTTTTTTTATCATTTCCTTTAATCCTCTTATGTTAGTGTCAGTAAAGAAAAAAAATTGATATCAGGATCGATAAACAAGAAAGAGGAAGATCGAAGATCATATGGTTGGTTAAAAAATTGATAAGAGATAGATAAAAGACACCTGGAAACCACAAGATAAAAACACATCGAGAATCAAAATCGAGAATCGAAGGAAGAATATTCGATGTCTATTGTTGAAGAGAATCGAAAAATTAGAATAGTGCAAAGTTAAGATTAAAGGGAATCAAAAGCAATTCAAAGTACTCGATGTCTGAAATCGAGATCGAGGGAACGGTTAACTCACACATAGAACATGGGAAGCAGTTTCTAAACCGAGGCAGAGATCGAAGATCAATGGAGCAGTTATCTCATGCATGGGAACATGGAATGCAATTTTTTAAACTGTAAAACTAAGGGACGTGCATGATGGATCGTGGTGGCAATTTTGTTAACTGCTCTTAGGAGGTTATTTGAAGGGCGCTCTATAAATAGAGCGAAGCTTAAGGGAGAGGGGGAAATTGGCAGAGATAACAGAAGCGCAAGTGAACAGTCTGCAGGAGAACGACACATCATGAAGTTTCTAATGCTCTGGATTTCCGTTTTCATTGATTATCTTTATCACTTTCTTTACTTTCCCTGGTAATTTTACTTTCATTGCAACATTACGTTTATCAACTTTAAGTTTGTCCTTTCAATTCCTTATCATTTACTTTTATGCAAGTTAAGGTTATGCGTTTAAGATACTCGCCATTTACATTTCTGCAATTTCGATTTCCTGCCATTTACATTTCTGCAATTTCGATTCCCTGTCATTTACATTTCTGCACTTTCGATTTCCTGTTATTTACATTTCTGCAATTTCGATTTATTGCCATTTACACTTAATGCAAATTTGAGGTTTCCGCATTCTACATTTCTCTGCAATTTAATATTCTACTTTCGATTCGACACTTTTACTGCTTTCTTTACTTCGCGTTTCTTAATAAAAAATACAAAAAAAATAGTACTTTCGATCATCGATCTGTACTCTAAGTCATGCTGTATGCATTTCTTGAGATTATATGATTCTCGATTCTCATGCATTTTTCGATTGAAAACTAGTTGCTAGCCTAAATGAAAAGAATCTACATGGTCAAGATTTGATTAGAACTTAAGTCTCGATAAATCGAAATCGATCAAATTTTCACCAGAAACAAATTGGCGCACCAGGTAGGGGTTGTGTCGAAAAACACAAACAATTGGTTAGTTCGAAAGTGTATGAGATTAAGGAGTGGGCGAGTATTGAGAATGAGTCAAAATACACCACATAATCAGAATAACAATGAGATTCCAAATAGTTCACATTTGCCAAACACTGGGGGGCAAGTTCACAATGGGAATATGCCCGTAATATCGACAAATGTGAGTACGTCGATACCTGTGAGTGCTGAACAAAGCTCAGGCACATCGGTAAACACTCAGTTAGGGTCTAGCACTATAATGTCAAACAATATAGAAACTACGGGGAATCCCGTAACAACATATGCAGGTCCGCATATGAGTGTAAGACCGCCTGACTTTTCGATTAATAATATGAATGGGGTTGAGACTTCTTCAATTCAACGAAGTACGAGATTTAACCTGGGAATGCCCCAAAACTTAGGCACATTTCAAACCTTAGGCATGCCTCAAAATTTTGGAGTATCCCCAAATTTAGGAGTGTCTCAAAATTTAGTAACACCCCAGAATTCAGGGAATGTGCAGAATTTAGGAACGCAACAAACGTCTTCAGTGTCAAACCTAGATCACAGAGCAAACCCGGATCACGGGAGATACCCACTCGATAGAGATTATCATCGATCCAATTTTGAGACTATCGAAAACGCTAGTACTGGAATTTCTAGTAACTCATTAGGAGTACTTCGACAACAAATGGACGAAAGCAATTTCGAGATGGTCAACATGTTATCACAACAGTTGACTACAGTACTGAATCCATTAGTTCAAAACACCACCACTAGTTTTGAGATATTAGCATACCAAATGTCACGTATCGGAGATGCATTGGCGATACCCCAACAAACAAGGGTCGAAAATAATGCCAATCAGAATATTAACCAAAACGCTAATATCAATCCCCTTTATTTATTAAGGAGGAATCGAAACAATGATCAATATCAGTAGGTTAGGAATGATACTTATGAAAATTTAAATGAGGGATGTCAAAATATGTATAATCAAAATAACATGCAGTACAATCACCTGATGGGACAAAGAATGAATCCTCAGGGAGTGGAATTAAGACCACCTCATCAACCATACTTTGTTTCTCCTTTTCCAAATATGATTCTCGAGACAGAATTACCTCGAGGATACAAAATACCCAAATTTACCAAGTTTGCTGGAGAAATTGGCGAATCCACTATCGCGCATGTGGCGCGATACCAAATCGAATGTGGGGACCTAGCGATGAGCGAGGAATTAAAAATGAAATATTTTCCTAGTTCATTAACAAAGAATGCTTTCACTTGGTTTACGTCGCTGCCACCGAATTCAATACACAATTGGATGCAGCTGGAAAGAAATTTTCATGAACAATTCTTTAGGGGAGAAACTCAAGTAAGTCTTATCGATTTAATGAATATAAAGAGATACAATCATGAAAGCATAGATGATTATTTGAATAGATTTAGACAAATGAAGTCGAGATGTTTTACTCAAATTCCTGAATTTGAGTTAGTCAGAATGACCTCCACAGGCTTAGAATTCTCGATTAGGAAAAAGTTAGTTAATTTACCTTTGAATGATATGGCCCAGCTAGCTGATAAAGTGAGAAGAGTGGAACAAATCGAATACAAGAAACAAAGGTACAAGAAATTTGAGAAACCTTTGAAGAAAGATAAGGTAGCGTATATAAATGATATATATGAGGAAAATCCCAGGGTAGAAGGAGATATGAAAGAATCCGTTGATGAGAAAGTAAATATAGCAGAGCTCAAAGTAGGAGCCCCATATATTTGTAAACTGCTACAGAAAAATGAAATGAAAGACAAAATGACAAATCACACGTATACTTTTGATGTAACAAATGCAGATAAAATCTTCAATATTTTACTGAAAGATAAACAGATTAAGCTGAGTGATGATCATAAATTACCTTCTGCAGAACAAAGAAATGGTCGAAAATATTGCAAATTTCATAATATCTATGGACATTGGACTAATAATTGTATACATTTCAGGAACACGATCCAAGATGTGATCGACCAAGGAAGACTGAAGTTTGAGGAGATGTCAATGAAAGTGGATACGAGTCCATTCGAAGTTCAAGTAGGGTATGTCGAGTCCCAAACGGGCATGACTGAAGATGTTCGATTGATGAATTCGACCTTTATAGGTATGGTCGATGTTACTAAAGACATTGATCCCAGACATGTCAGAATGGATATGTCAGAAGAAGACATAGAGTTCGACTTAAGCGAGTTCAAGAAAGAATTCGAAAGAGAGATCTATCCTCGATCAGAAGATTTCCTCGTCGAGTTTTTGAATAGAAAGAAAGAAAAGGACGAAGGAGTGACATTATGTCCACGATGCAGCACAGTGTTCGACAGATCAGCTGCTAAGGCCTTCAGGGTAGGACAGATCAAGAAAATAGAGAATCAACATAAAAACTGCAATGATAAAGCAGATCAGACCATCCAAGCCACGGTGGAGGAAAGTCAGCAAAAATCTGTTGGTTCTGGCGCTAGTAGAAATCAGAAACAATGGGTTAGGAAAGAAATATATTTTCATCGGGGAGGAAGAGGCAGACTTCAAAATAATGATGTTTTCGATAGACTCTCATATGATGAGGGATCAAATACTGGATTTCCTACATTTCAAAGGAGATTTCGAGGAAGACCTTGGAGGAGAGGAGGAAGGATCCCTTACTGGGGAATGATCAATAATTATAGAAACTTTGAAGAAAGCAATGCACCAACTGGGGGTCAATATGTAAGAGACTTTATCGATGGCAAAAATGGAGGTAGTTGGGATGGACATCAAGTTGGGGTAATATCGATATTACCCGCGGAATATGTTAGCGAGTATGAGGAGCATCAAGGGCACGTCAATCGAGAGGACGATTTCTATTTCGAAGACATGAGACCGAAAGTCACATGGGTAACACAAGCATCATGCGAAGTACCTCACAGAGATGCTACTTTTATCGATCCCCCATCAGAAGAAATGAGGTTTCATCTGAAACCTTTATTATTGAACATCGAAATTCAAGGACAGAAGGTGAATAAAGTCCTTGTTCACGGTGATGTAGCGGTGAACATATTGTCAATCACTATGCTGAAGAGGTTTGGTATCGAATTAAAAGACTTGGTCAGACATAATATCATGATTTCTGACTTCAGTGGGAAATCCTCGAGCTCAGAAGGCATGATTGCTTTAGATGTGAAAGTGGGGACTTATTCAAGGCCCACTGTATTTGTAGTAGTCCAATCACATGCCAACTTTAATGCGTTGCTTGGTAGGGAGTGGATTCATGGAGTTGGAGCTGTGCCTTCTACGGCTCATCAGAAGTTGTTTATGTGGAATCGAGATGGACATCTCGAGATAATTCCAGGGGACCAACACGAGTTTGTAACATTTGTATCTCAGGCTGGCCAGTCATTGCAGAATTTGGGGCTCACTCAACCA